TAGGATTTCATTTTTGGTTAGTGTTTAAGGATTTTTAATTTCGAGCACGTTGCTATCTGTGCTTGCAATTGTCTCATTGATCGAGACGACGTAATTTAATTTTGTATAGAAAAGTCTCATCTAACGGTTGCGTCTAAGTGCTGGCATGATTCATTTTGAAAATTGAAATACCCTTTCCAGAATCGATATAATTTACAGGGGTTGCGTAAACGTTCTACCGGGAGGGAAGTTGAACGGCTTGGATCGGTTCCAGCGAAATGAAAGCACCCTTAGAGAAATCTGCTTCCCGGGGTGACAAATCCCAGATTTCCTTGGATAAAATAGATCGAAGTTCACCTTCATCACCGCGCGGACGTTTCGAGGATTTCCTGCGGCTTCGCGAAATCAAAGTGCCACTTGGCTTATCAAACTTCGGGCTTTCCGATATAAACATTCGAATATATATACATATTCCTTTTGAAATAGGTCACATGGATGGACCCACGCTTTCAGAACTTTTAAAGATTTCCCTCAATTCCGCCAATTATCTTAATCGTAATAACCTCTTCGAGCCACTCTCCTCGGGAACTTCACGCAAAAGCTTAAAAAATTGACCAAAGTCCGAAAAAAGTAAATAATTGACAGAAAATTTCGCTAACAAACTATTGAACCGCATTGATTTTTCCTCATGCGCTATAAATACATGTAAATAAGTTAACTATTAACAGATATTTTAACTGCATTACCCGAATTAAAGTGATTTTACAGTTATTGCGCTAAGACGTTAATTCTTTTACCTTGCTGAAAAAACCACCTTGATATCTATCTGGATATCGATTAAAGAAGAGATATGAAAAATATTGAACGAGATTTATCCATTGATAAAGCAAAACCATCAATAAAAAGAAAATGAGGGCGAGCGAACGTAATAAGATTCGATGCGGGAAATATTACTGTAGGAGGATTAAGGTGACTTTACAGTTATTGCACTAAGACGTTAATTCTTTTACCTTGCTGAAAAAACCACCTTGATATCTATCTGGATATCGATTAAAGAAGAGATATTAAAAATATTGAACGAGATTTATCTATTGATAAAGCAAAACCATCAATAAAAAGAAAATGAGGGCGAGCGAACGTAATAAGATTCGATGCGGGAAATATTACTGTAGGAGGATTAAGATGATTTTACAGTTATTGCGCTAAGACGTTAATTCTTTTACTTGGCTGAAAAAACCACCTTGATATCTATCTGGATATCGATTAAAAAAGAGATATGAAAAATATTGAACGAGATTTATCCATTGATAACGCAAAACCATCAATAAAAAGAAAATGAGGGCGAGCGAACGTAATAAGATTCGATGCGGGAAATATTACTGTAGGAGGATTAAGATGATTTTACAGTTATTGCACTAAGACGTTAATTCTTTTACTTTGCTGAAAAAACCATCTTGATATCTATTTGGATATCGATTAAAGAAGAGATATGAAAAATATTGAACGAGATTTATCCATTGATAAAGCACAACCATCAATAAAAAGAAAATGAGGGTGAGCGAACGTAATAAGATTCGATGCGGGAATCGGGAAATATTACTGTGGGAGGATAATTCATATCTCGCAGCGTCAGAAATAGTCGAGAAATATGGGTTTGGGAGGCGCGTCGAAACTCCTTAGAATGTTCGATGTGTAGCCAGGAAATCAAAGTGCCAGGCTTCGCTGACGAAACGACGTATACGTCGATACGTGTCGGCCGTTGTCGTAAAGAATCTGAAGAAATCCGCCTTGCGGAAGCTCGACCGAGGAGTTTATTCGCGTTTGATCGGATTGCCTTCCCTGGCCGTTTCCCTCCTGGGACCGGACGTGTTGGTCGTCACTTGCAACGTAACCCTTTCGACTGTTTACTTTACTCGCACGTTGCCACCCCCGCGCTCTTTGGCCTGCACCTTTGTGTACTTTCAAAGAAAAACCTCCACGGATTGTCAGAGCGGGTTCGATCGGTGGTCAAAACGGCGCGGAAATGGTCTGAGAGTTTGTTGAATGAAAATTTTCGATCGTTTCGGTATAACGATGCTTCTGACAATAGGTAATATTTCTAAAGGAGCCTGATATGCAATCGATTTTTGTACATTTCTGTATCGATTTAGGTGGCGTTCCTAGAAATCTTCAAGTCGAGGGTGGCATTAAAAAAATGGCCACTGAAGTTATCAAAATCCAAGTCCCAAAAATGAGAAATGCACGCGATAGCTGGTTTCCATGGAAATTGAGATAATTGTCGATCGACCCGTTCTGAGAAAAATGTGGAAAAATGCCCACGGGTTTTGTCGAATCCTTTAAACAAATCCTGCGAATTAAGGCCACCGTTAGATCCGATTCCATGGCAAAATCCGTCAATAAGGTCCGAACGCGTTCCCAATGGCCCCCCGGGGGCACAAAGTCATATTCCGTTTTCATGTCCCTTTTACGCCGGATCAAGTTTTTACGTTTTTCAGATGTTGGTCATTTAAAAGCACAGCATTCTCCTCGGGGTATACGTGTTAGCAATAAACCTTCACGGATTTGCGAAGATGCGAGCAGGAAAACGCTCTAAAATATTACCGACTGAATCATCCAAAATTCACAGTTGAAACTAACGAATCATTTTCTCTGTCCGAATAAAAAGGAGAAAAAAAAATCCCTCAAGTTCGTTTCTCCATCTACGTAACTTTATCAGGGTGCAGAATGAATCCTCGCAGAACCGCCCCATCGGAAATGACAAAATGCTTGGAAAAAGTCGCTGATGAAGCCAATGAGTTTGTACGGTTTTCCTCGGACAGACTGCTGCGGTGGTTCGTTTGTTTTCCCCGGTTATTTAATAGCTTAACGATCGATATATATAACAACTTCCAATGTGGATTATAAAAATATTAAATCTTTGCAATTTAACTAGTAACCTATGTCATATAAGTCACGGACCAATATGATCCATGCGACACGGGCCTGCTCAGGGCGTTCGCGTGTCCATCTTTTTTTCTTCTTCCGGAGAACGCCCGCGCAAGCCCGCGCCAATTATTTGGCCGGCGTTACTGTTTTTTGTTGTGTATGTGTTGTACGTGTATTTTCCTCCTCCACTTGCGCGTGTACCGTGTGAGTATGTACGTACATCCGCTACATACTTCGTGATATGTCATTCTTTTGCGCATCCACATCGCCAAGTGACGCCAGCGTCGATCGATCTGGTCGTCGAGCCTCCATCGGAATCGGCACGGTGATTTAACTATTTATCGAACGATTATCGACACCTCGACGACAACCTCCAGGATTGATAGGAACGTCTCTAGACTGGCTATCCGCTGCGACGATTGATTAAATGCACTACGCGTGATGGAATCATTGATCATCCAGTTATCAGCAATCGGATCGCTTGATGAGGTGGCATATTACACCACTTAACAAGAACTGGTGATAAACCAAAGTTCAGAAGTTAGTCCAAATTTGTATTGGCCATTTCAAGACCCGGGATTGAGGTAGCCATTCCTGAATGGATATAACATTTTTTAATTATGGAATTTAAATAATTACGTTTGGGAGTCATTGATCTAACTCATTTGTGCCCATTAATGCGAAGCCAGGAGATTTTGTCGCCACTGAAAGCGTTCATTTGGAGGTCTTCTGGTACAACAAAGTACTCGGTAAGCCCAACAAAAACCCGGTACTTCGATGGAGGTTCGAGGTGAAAGATCGCCCATCAACAGCCCGCGGTGTGAAAGAAGTCCATCTGCACCGGAATATAGTCGTTACAAGGCCGAAGAGCCTTCTTCCGGGAGCCTTTTTTCTCTTCCCACTCGGTCTGTAATGGCCGCAGGTGTAATTAGCGGCATTGGAGTGTTCCCGAATAGTGCAGCAATTAAGCTGCAACGTCAAGGAGCAAGTAGACGACGTACGTCGTTCCGAATGGTAATCATTGCTCTAGCTGGAGGTACCAAAGAAGGTCGGTAAATTGAGCCAACTGGAATAGTCCACTTTTGTTGTTAATGCGAAAAATATCCCATTACCGAGATGTAAATGTTCGACCCCGTTCAAAACGACGGTCATTCCATATGGTACATCGATTCCCATGTCCCGTTCTAAGGGCAGACTAGCTGTTATTGAAAGCCAATTTGCTTGTTGTCCTCGCAAATTGGCGGTACGGAGTCGCGATGATTCAATTAAGAGCGTATATCGCGTCTTTGGACCAACAGATATGGTACCAGGTTGGGGTTCCTTGCTTCACTCGAACTCTGTATAATCCAGTGATGCAATTAGCAGCGTTGCGGTGCTCTCCAGCAGGGTAGCAATTACTTTGAATCACGCGGCATGAACGACGGACATCGCGTGGGATGATGATTCCACTATCTAGCCATGAAGAGATACTCCGGCAGTTGGTAAGTTCTCCTCTTTGAGTTTAGTCGCGTGGTCTTGTTGATTTATCGAAAAGCCCTTGACGTTGCAGCCCTGCACTCGTGGACCAGTCGAGAGATGAGATCAACAGATGGGGAGAGAAACGTCCACCCTCGCACCGCGCTTACACTTGTTACGACGTTCCGTTTGCGATTCGTTTGAATCCCTAGGAATATGGTCGTCAGATCCAGTAGGCCCGGAATTGAAACTCTTTTAATTTTCCATAACTAAAACGGAATGAAAGGAAATCAGGTACTCATTTGGGAAATACGAAAAATAGAAGACAAGCCTTCAAAAGTCATACGTTTCAAGAGATTAACGCAACCGACAGATTCGTTTCTGTCCAGCCTTTCATCCCACCACCTAAAACTGGCGCGATCTCAAAATTATTGCAAACCGAGTAAATCCTTCTTCATGAGCTCATGACCAAGGATTCATCTCTGAAGAAGGTTTCAATAATTCCATATCAAGATTCGTAGAATGACCGTTCGGTGCCTACTGGACCAACGTCCCCTTTCACTTCAACTTGCCTACCCCAAACGAAACCCCGTTTCGACGCTGGCGTCAACATCAGGTACTGCCTGGGCTAACCTAGCGAACTTAGGGAGCTACTCTTCGGGCCAGCCCAGGTCCTCCCCAACGAGCTCGTAGAAGCGCTGGTTGTGCTCGTTGAAGAACTTCCTGAGCTTGGTGACCACGACCGGGCTGACCCGAGGGTGTCGGCGACCCTTGCTCTCCCGCAGACACTTGTCCGCGGTCTCGTTTCTCAGGCAGTAGAAGCCCTTGGTGTGATTGAAGTAGAAGTTGTGCCTACCGATCCTCGGCTCCAGCCCGAGGAAGCTCTCGATCCTGCGCAACTGCGGGACTGGGTCCTCGATCAGCTGATCGCCGTTCACCACCAGAATCTGGTTGCGCGAGAACACCTCCAGCCATCGGTACATGTACGTGTGGTAAAGGGATATGGCCACAGGCCTGTAGGACTCGTTGATAGTGCCGTCCGGCTTTATCACCAGCTCCTCGAAGCTGCGAGTTGGTTGTATGGTTCTAGGAGTCCCGCTCATCGCCGACGAAGCCGTCCCTGCGTGGGTCTTCAGCTGTGTGTAGTCTGATATGGCTCTGGTCACCGGCTCGCGCACTATCAGCAGCAGCTTCACGCTCGCGTTCATCGCGTGAATCCTCTCCGGCACCTGGAGCAAAGTCAACCCGTCAATAAACGTTTTGTACACGTGAATCCGTACTTGGCCTCTGATACGATAAGACAGATGCGCCAATTATTGCCACGATCTTCATTTTTTTCGCTACGACAGTTCGCGCCAAAATGGCATCGCTGAACGGGACTCCGTGCTGAAAGTGAACAGTACCACAAACTCCCGTTTATCGGGAATTCCTATAATGCGATTTCATTCAACGCGCAACGTGTTAAGGTGTTATGAAAGAGTCATTCTGCATATATCAAAACGTCAAAATATTTATACACATTTTATCTGAACTACGTGCAACGAATCATTTGAAACTTCAGCACGTGATTATGGAGACCCTAAGGAAGAACGCGTGCTCATAAAATTTTAATTTTCGAAAAAAGGTTTTTATTTATTCACGACTGGAACCAAGGATACATATTTTTTTTGGAAAATGAAATCTCATGGCATCGCGTTCTTCCATAGGGCCTTTATAATCACACGCTGGACTTCCAAATGATTAATGAAATTCCGTTTAAAAAAAATTTAAAAGGTGTAAGCAAATTTAAGAACAACGAAATTTCATGGATGTCCGGACTTTCATTTAGGGCTTTCATGTTTACGTGGTAAAATTTCAAACGATTCGATCCATCCGGAACAAGGACGCCATTTTCACATCACTTTAATTTGTATTTATTAAAACGTTTACGCAAAGTGTCTCAACGCCAACACGCAAAGATGAATATAAATAGTAAGGAACTGTAAACCTAAAATTTACGCAAATTGTGTGAATACTAGAACGAGAAGATGAATGTAAATAGCAATTATTTATAAAAGAAAGCGTTTCACTTTCCATTTCCCCTTCATAACCTGCCTAATTACAAACGTCCCACAAGAAGTTTTACATAAAAAACCAGAATTCATTTCCCCGTTAAGTTCTTTTTCAGAAGTGGGTTTTACTTTTAATTTGTAATTATCCATTTATAGTTATTAATCCGAAACTGAGAAAGGTAGCACTCTTATTTCCTTTATTTCTTATGTTTTCGAATCTGTTAAAGCGGATTTAACAGCGTTAAATTGAAAACGTTTCTCGCTGGGGTCGTTAAATATAGGTCAAATGATGGATGTGGTTATTAAACAAGATTTGTGCAACAATTATTACTCGAGTGGTATTAACTGGCTGCCGCGTTTCCGAAATCTCTCTCTATCCTCTTTGGCTGCTCTCCAAATTCATTATTCACTCGGCCCTCTCATATCTCTCACTAGAGATCGGCAACGTTTCTATTGTACATATCAACGCGACACTTGGCAAGTCTGCTTTCGGATCTACTTGAAGGTGAAGTGGCCCGTAAAGTGCTGCGAAGAAATTGCCACTTGTGAATTTTTTAGCCCAGCCGGGTTGAAATGTGCCACTTTCTGCGTCTGGCAGATACGGTGACGTGTGACTCGGCCTTCGCGAAATCCATTTCCCTATCCCTAATTTCTCATTTAATTGCAACATCTTAGTAAAAAGAGTAAATTAATGTAATAAATTAGTATTAATGAACTTAAACGACATAAACTTGAAAGTTATATACTATAAGAGAGAAATTTCACCTGCTACACATTGTGTGAGAGAAAAAATTATGCTCACAATTCTAGGTACAATAAAACTCGCAATTTACGTAACTGGTTTAACCAATCGAAAGAGAATAATTAAATGAAATACTTATTTTCCACGGGCATTGAGAATGAATTCAATTTAATTATGGTGAAATTAACCAAACTCTGTGATAAGATTTGCATGACCTGCAAGTTTAATTGAATCAACCGAGGTGATGTTGTCATTTCTTAGACACTAATGAAAGCGTAAATTCACGATGGAAGTGAATTTCAACCATCAGGCAACAACTGTTGACATTACAAAGCATTCAATTAAAATTATTCTCCGATCCAGCCGGACTATAATCACATTGCTGAAAAGAGAAGTCAACCGTCGTACTCAACCATCCACAGTTTGCCAAAAAATGGTAATATCTAAGATGAAAAAACATAGAATTCAGCGGCTAACATGTACTGTCGAGGATAACGCAAAGAGAAAGTGAATTTTGGTTGGACTTGTACACCGAATACACCGAAATGTGGCACGAAATAAGTACGTGTGGTTATCGGATGTGCACATTCTGACAAATTGTTGGAATTCATTGACGAGCGGTGTAGTGAAGAGATTCCAATTCACTGAAATATGTGCACAGTAAACTGAAACGCTCGCGACGCTTAAGAATACACGGCAAGCTTGTTCCAGAGAGAGACAGATTAGGATGTCCCTGCATCTTTGTCGCATGAAGTTCGGTAAACATTTGTTCGAGAAAGTTGAAGCGATGGATAGCTCTTCATCGCAGTTCCACTCCTATTGGGTTGTTCGGAAAGTAATTTCGTTGTTTCCCAATAGAGGACTTCATTTTTTTTTTCACGGCCAACTTCACACTTAAGCCGCATCATCATTATATATTTTGACAGCTGATCTAGCAAGGCTTGCTTGTGAAAAAGTTTGATTGATTCTACGCAGTAATTTTTGGTTGGTACCCTTTCAAATATGGAAAGTGAAAAGCGGCATTTTCAGCATATTTTACTTTTTTACTATCGAAAAGGTAAAAATGCTGTTCAAGCAAGAAAAAAATTATCCGATGTGTATGGAGAAGATGGATATTGACAGAACGCCAGGGTCAAAACTGGTTTGCAAAATTTTGATCCGGCAATTTTGATATTGAAGATGCACCACGTCCTGGAAGGCCACTTAAAGCTGATGAAAACACAATAAAGGCATTAATTGATGTAAACCGGCGAATAACAACTCGTGAAATCGCTGAGAGATTAAATTTATCGAATTCGACCGTTCATGATCATTTGAAACGCCTAGGTTTAATCTCAAAGCTCGACATATGGATTCCTCATGTTCTTGCGGAAAGAAATTTGTCATCGCATTGACGTCTGTGATTTGCTTCTCAAACGTCAAGAAAATGATCCATTTTTGAAGCGCATCATCCCTGGGGACGAGAAATGGGTTGTCTACAACAATGTTACACGCAAGAGGTCATGGAGTAAAAAAGATGAACCGGCTCAAAGAACTTCGAAAGCCGAAATTCATCAAAAAAAGGTGATGGTATCTGTTTGGTGGGATTTCAAAGGAATCGTTTTTTTTTGAGATTCTACCGAACAACACAACGATCAATTCTGAAGTGTACTGTCACCAGCTGGACAAACTGAATGATTCACTTAAACAGAAGAGACCAGCATTGATCAATAGAAAAGGTGTAGTGTTTCACCAAGATAATGCGAGACCTCAAAAGCTTCTACAGCTTGGATGGGATATACTGCCACACCCACCATATTCTCCAGATCTGGCACCTTCTGATTATTACTTGTCCCGGTCTCTACAAAATTTTTTAGACGGTGAAACCTTTACTTCAAATGAGGAACTTCAAATCAGTTTTTTGACAGCAAAAACCAAACATTTTATGAGCGTGGAATTATGCTACTGCCAGAAAGATGGCAAAAGGTATTGGACCAGAATGGCCAATATATAATTCAATAAAATGTTTATTCGCTATAAAAAAAATCGTCTTTCATTTTCATTAAAAAAAAACGAAATTACTTTCCGAACAACCCAATAGATTAACCAATGCGTGCGCACCGTTTGTACCGTCTAAAATGAAAATTTAGTATCATTCACAATTGGCATCGTAGAGTGGTAGTGTCAAACTTAATTTGTAATTGGACTGTATAAAAACCGAGGCGTTCCAGTTTACTATATATTTCAGTGTTCCGATTACTCAAACAGGCGTCGGCGTGTCTAAGGATTCAAGATGGCGGCGGACCTACCTCCGGCGTGACGAAGTAGCTGGGGCTCTTTTCGATCGTGACCTGTCCCTTGAAAGAGTACGGCATCTTCCGGCGGTACCACTCGAGGCCCTTCCCGTAGTTATCGTCGCGATCGAAAAAGTGCACCTCGCCGGCGGCTTTTTGGATCTGCGGGTGGAGGAAGAGCATCTCGAGGAGGGCACGCGTGCCGCACTTCCGCACGCCGATGATGATCGCCTGGGGAAGATGGCGGTTGGTGCGCGGGAAGTGGACCTTGCCCGGGAAGAGGAGCGGAGGCGTCGCGCGGGCCTGGGAGACCAGCTCGATCGTGCGGCCCTCCACGCCGCTGCTCGCGTGCAGACTGTAGATGGCGCTGTCGTAGAGCACGTGGAACGTCAGGAAGAGCGAGATCAAGACGACCGAGAGGAACGCGGCCGCCATTTTGGGACGCGATATGCCCACCACGAGGATGCAGTCCGGAGCGTCGCCCTCGGCCGGCCTCATGGCGGAGCGGGGCATCCACCTGCGGATTTGCCATCCCAATGTTAATGCAGACATGGATACGATATTTATTATTTGTAATATATGATCATTAAGATGCTATAAATATTTCTTCGCTAAGTTCGTTTCGTCCGCAAATATAGTAGGTGTTAAGAGGTGGGCTGGTCAAATTGCCTACTGGCTTTATAAATATACATACATACATTTCTGCGATGCCAACCTAACCTCTAAAGAGGTGCTCTCTACACAATTCCCTTATTACCTTATCGCCTCTAAAGAGATGAATAATAAGGTAAATTTTGCGTCAACAATTGAGAGTATAACGTTAAAAGAGAGATATTATAGATTGGTACGCTGACGTGGGTATTATAAAGAAAGATTCTTTTATAATAATGTACGCTTTCAATTATTAAAACTTTTATTGTTAAATGTACGTTATGCAAGGAAGGACGAAGAACACGCTTGTCAGGAGTCTTGTTTATATCACGGGACGTGCTGATTTTACGATTTTCCTTCGAACGAGTTACTCATCCGAGGAGCCCCCAATGCAGCGAGCTCGTGAATTACGGGCTTCAATAAGCTCGTGTTTGCAAGTATGAAAAAAGTACACGGTGTCCAGGCCTGTATAGAAGATCAGGGAATCGAACCGTAAGTTTCATACGCCCAGCTCCGGTTTAGCTGCTGTAAAAGAGCGCTTCTTTTGCTTTCGCTGCGTCCCAGTTCGATTCTTTGCACCCTGCTCGTCATAAATGGTACATGGTACAGCGAGGAGAAGCCGATACCGTTCGATTTTCATGTTTCTCCCTGTGCGTCTTCAATAGACGACAGCGTACTTATACAATTCGTTTATTAGTACAACTTGTTTATTGAGTAAAACTTGATAAACAATCACTTAATGTTTCACGGAATGTTAATCATTTACGGACGGGACTTTTTCTTTGTAAAGACTTTTGTGCAACTCTCTGTAGACGCGCACTCGGAAAGAATTAACTGACAATTAATCATACGTAATTACAAATCGGAACATGAATGAGTAAATTGATGTCAACCCCGACTGGTAAAATAGGTAGATATGTAATCGTGATTTGTGTATTTGGCTTCATAATATGATTTCAATGCCTTTTGAATGCAAATTTTATATGTAACACACATTTTTTCTATAATAGGTTCACAGCATTCCTGTACTCGGCGAAGTATTTTGCACGGAAGTGTTTTTGTAGGAATCCTTTAATTCGGAACATCGAATCCTCACGCTTAGCAACGTTTCCGCAGCAATTCCTAGAATTCGATCGCAACTCTCAAGATATCATCTATTTTTCCGCGTTATTTTTGAAAAAAACAAAAACAAAAGCGTCCCAGGTGTAGAACGGCATTTATTAAAATCACCTTTATTTGTCAAAACACTTTCCGTTTACAGGTTCCGTTTATACGATCGCGTTATTACTGAAATCTGCTGAAACTCTTCTTGGGGTAGAGAGCTCCCTACAGGTGATGCACCGACGTTCTCCATTGTAATTTCCGGACTTCATTCCGCACTCGGTACCATGGCGCGAGTACCGTGGTACTCGAGCATACCTTGGTCGGAGCTTGTACTTTACTTATACGGCGTGCACGGCCGGTAATCCCGCCTACACGTCGAATGGGTACACTCGGAAGAGGTTGCTTCACCCGCGGCATGTAAGTCAACACGTGAGTCTACATTGTTCCGTTGCTCTTGTCGGAGACTATAACTCGGGCCCGCATGCACTAGGCACCGACGTAGATAAGGCAATCACGCGAGAGACAATCGAGTGCCGGCCCTCCTCGATAGTCAAGCCAATTATCTCGATTCTGCCTCTACGGTGAATTACCCGAGACTTTCTGGGATTGACGATAAAACCCGAGCCCCCTCGATTGGCAGCGCCGAGTAGTTTTCTCGGCCGAGGACTCTTCACGTTATACGGGTATAACGCCGTTCGAGAAGCGCCGAAGTGATCGAAGATGGGCGTTAAATGTACAATTGGGAATGATGAATGATACAGTCCGAGAGTATTTATTTTTACGTTGAAGAATTAGATTTATCAGCTTACCTCACTATTCGATTGGGTTAGGATGACGTTAAGAATGAATTAATTTAGGATTTCACGTTATACGGGTATAACGCCGGTCGTCGTGATCGAAGATGGGCTTAAATGTACTATTGGGAACGATGATTTATACAGTCTTAGGATATTTATTTAAACGTTGATGAATTAGATTTATCAGCTTATCCCACTATTCGATTGGGTTAGGATGACGTTAAGAATGAATTAATTTAGGATTTCACGTTATACGGGTATAACGCCGTTCGAGAAGCGCCATCGTGATCGAAGATGGGCGTTAAATGTACCATTGGGAATGATGAATGATACAGTCTGAGGGTGCTTATTTAAACGTTGATGAATTAGATTTATCAGCTTATTCCACTATTCGATTGGGTTAGGATGACGTTAAGAATGAATTCATTTAGGATTTCACGTTATACTGGTATAACGCCGGTGGAGAAGCGCCATCGTGATCGAAGATGGGCGTTAAATGTACAATTGGGAATGATGAATGATACAGTCCGAGAGTATTTATTTTTACGTTGAAGAATTAGATTTATCAGCTTACCTCACTATTCGATTGGGTTAGGATGACGTTAAGAATGAATTAATTTAGGATTTCACGTTATACGGGTGTAACGCCGTTCGAGAAGCGCCATCGTGATCGAAGATGGGCGTTAAATGTACTATTGGGAATGATGAATGATACAGTCTGAGAGTACTTATTTAAACGTCGATGAATTAGATTTATCAGCTTACTTCACTATTCGATTGGGTTAGGATGACGTTAAGAATAAATTAATTTAGGATTTCACGTTATACGGATATATCGCTGGTCGAGAAGCGCCATCGTGATCGAAGATGGGCGTTAAATGTACTATTTTGAACGATGATTTATACAGTCTCAGGATTTTTTTTTAAACGTCGATGAATTAGATTTATTAACTTACTTCACTATTTGATTGGGAATGATGTCAAAAATGAATTTATTCAGGATTTCACGTTACATGTGTATAACGCTATTTGCAAAAGCGCCATCATGATCGAAAATGGTAGGATGAACGTTAAATGTATCATAGGAAATGATGATCGATTTAGTCTTAGGCCAACCAATTTATTTTGCTACTCGAAGGGATCAGAATTCCATCAAGAATGAACCGATTTAGGTACTCACGTTATAGATATGGACATATTGTTGGAAAAGTGCCATCATGCTCGAAAATGATATACTGCACCGCTGGAAATAATTTATTCCGTTTTAAGATTTATATTACTTCGATCGTTAAGAAATTTTAAATGAAAGCTAAAACGTCTTCATCCGTTTCGTTGTAAGAAGATGTTAATACATCCTCGATCTAACCCATATTTCCCTCACGTTTGTGCAATTTTTAGGTTAAAGTTCGATAAACTGAAGCTAACCGATCGAATTTAGCTGGTTAATCTATACGACGGTTAATGGAAATTAATCCGCCGTTAGAAGAACGTGCAACTCGTTCTAACCGAAGATTAGCTTTTTGACCGAGGTTGACGGAATGGGGCATAAGGGTTTAAACGGAAATGATTGATACGATTTAAACACTTTTACCTCACCGATGATAAATTCGAGTTGCAAAGTTATTTCACTACTCGATCGCGTTGGAACGATACCAATAACGAATTGATTTAGGTTGCCGTTATATAGATTTCTATTTGAGCGGGAGTGAATAACAAATGCAAATTTATTTGCTATTCGTTGATGGGGTACATAAGCGGTTCGTTGGTTCATTATGACCAAGCGGAATAAAAAGTACATCCACGCCAATTGCACGTGCACGACGTTCACCCCCTCGGAATTTATCTTATAAATCACCCCACGTACAGGGTGCAACTAGAATTCTGCACGCGAATGGAAGATAAACGGATTTTACAGTTTCGCATCTTCGGCTTACACTCAACTAATGAAATTGCTGCAGTAAGCGTGGGAAATACTGGGGGTTACCTATGTGTAGCGCCGTAAAGAGGGCCTCTCTTCAGGGATACTTTCTTACCGGAAGGGTTTATGTGTGGAAGAGCTTTGTAGAAAACAACAGACCACGAACGGACATGAATATTGGATGAAACAAAGGGTTTTGCGTCGTAGGGCGATTCGAGTAAAGCCCGTGCTCGTGATTATATTGAAATTCATGGTTACCCTCTTGAAAGCCATCCACTTACTCGCGGAATTTATTTACCGGTAAACAATGCGAACGCATATGTAGAAAAATAAAGGATTACGCTCTTGCGCGAATTACACTCAGCGACTATCAAACGCACGTGATTAAAACGGACAAATTTATCTTAACACATTTATTAGGTCCAAAATGTGTAAATACATTTAATATTTACCGATCATTTTCTTCGCGATATATAATAGAGATTTATCATAATAAATCGTTATCAAGCACCTGGATATCCTCGCGCAAATTTTAATTAGAGAAATAAAAAGATCTTGGAAAAGCCTAATAATAGTTAGATATCCAACGATTATTGGGTAGGCTGTTTAGCGACCGTAATGACACAATTTTGAAACTTATTTCTATTTTCCGAATGACAACTTTTGTCAATGACGTATTCCTCATTGTATATCCGTAACCTGTGCCCATTCATGGGACAGACAATCTCTGCAAGTTGTCGTCGATCTTTCGATATGAAAATATAAAGTGTCGTGGGACTGGTTAGTCAATCCAATATCTGGAGAAGATCCCGAATGCGAATATGAAATTCTCCCCACTAAGAGTGGCAATTTGAATAAAGTTTCTCGGCGCGACTGGTCTGTCTAGAATAATTAAGTCTGTCTCCAGCAATGCCTGCCATAAACCGCACTTAGCTCTCGGAAATGAAGTGCGCTCATTACTGGTTGCCTAACCCGAGTTCCCGAGTCGCTCTCGAGTCTTAAGTGCCCGGTGGCTTTAATTCCCGAGTTTTCTTTTTTTTTTCTCCAAAAAGCCCGGAAAGTTGCGATTTATTCCTTGCTTTATATCAGGAACGGCAAGGGGGAGACTTGCGAAGTGGCCGGGGTGGCCCGAAAAAGGTTTATTAAATCCTGATGCCGATTTCGGAACAAATCGTTCCCAAACTCTCGGCGGCTTTGCACGCTTCGAGCTTATTTTAGCGATACTCGAGGCTTTGTTCGATAATTCCTCGTAGGTGCACGCTATCGCTCAATTCTCCACCCTGGGATCCCAGAAACGGCCGATACGTGTTTCGGCGAACCGAACCGAAAGAGAACTCTACGGGGAGAATAAACTCACGTCCAAAGAGTTCAAGAGGAGAGCTTTGTTTCCAGCCCCGATTTCGCCGGATCCCTTCGACATGCCCTGCTCCCCGAGAAACAATGCGGCTTCCTCAAAAGATGTATAACGAGGCTGAATAAAAAGAAGGCTTTTTATGTACACGCGGAGAAAGAAATTCCGTTTATTGAGCAATTTCGTTCGATCGACTGCGTTTGGCTCATTTCAGAAATATTTTGCTTGCGTGAATCGTGAGTGAACGGTGAAAGTCAGTTCGTTTGGTCGAACTTATTTATTTCAATTAACTAACTTATTTGACATAACGGTTAAATTGTTAAGTTAATTTTGGAGAATATTTTAGTCACTTTACCAAATATTGTGGTTAAATGTAGGAAATTATACTTTAAAATTTGGTGTGATCTACCATAGTGTATGGTGTAATCAATCGAATGTTATTAACCGAAGAGTTCTGTCGTGACAATGAAATATTTGATCATTCATGTAACGATCATATCTATTCTATGGTTGAATGAAGAAAAATTTTATTGATTTAACCAAATATTTCTCTATGTACGGTACTTGCAGTGGTATCGAAGAGTATGGAAAAATGTGTCAGGTTAAATCTTGGAATATTTTTTCAAATCTATGAAATGTGAAGTATGTGAATGAAATATTTGAAAAAAAAATCGGTGTCCGTCACGCGCTTTAGAAGGAAGACTTTGCAAATTAAGAGAATTATTGGTATTATTAATAGTTCTTAATTATCCCTTAGCGTTCGGTTCTGGTTCTTTTAGGCATACCTATATTTATTTCTTATGTTTATTCATTTTATTTCACTTTAAATTCCTATTAACTGAGAGAACCACTGTAACGAGAATGTTTTCACAAATTTTGTTAATACTGAAAAACACAGATGAATGTACATAGTAATTAATTGTGAAAAAGCATTTCACATTACTGCTATTTATATTATATATTACTGGCTACTTTCATAAAATGCAAATTTATTCATACTACCGTGCCATTAGAAGTTTCACCTAAAAGTAATGTGTTTAATCAGCACCGTGAAAGCCGAGTGCAAATAAAGAAGTGATTTTCGTGTGGTCAGAATTTTTTGAAAATTCCGACAATTACCAGTTGGTTTCCTTTGTTACACCGCATAATGGCATTGTCTGATTATCAGATGGGATGTAATTTTTTAATGTGAAAAGGATGGTTTCTCTCTGGTCCTATACGGCTCTAATTTTTTAATTTCCTAACAACCGAGTCGAAGAATTTCATGCATTTTTTATTAAGACAAAAAAATATCTGGGGAAGAAGTTTGTTTAAGCGGAAATTTTTAGCTGGGTTCAAGATTTTGCTACGGCAGCATTTTTTTTTATAAAAGGGCACTGGTTTGAAGGGGCTCTTTTGAGGAACGATCTGAAATGGAATCACGATAGTGCGCTGTTTAATGCTATTTCTTAAGGCGATACGGTCGAAGAAATGGGTACATTTCGAGGAAGTATTGCCGATTGAATTGCGAATGCATAAAAGTTAACTCTCATTCGATATTCCTGAACGCGGCAGCTCTTTGTAAGTCTTCTCGTTTACCGCGAGGAATATCGATTCCAGAAAATTGTTAAGCTCTCTTAACCCTTTGAGAGCTGTGAACGCATATGCGCATATCCGGAAAATATTGGAACGGGATACTAGAAATAAGTGGCTAACGAAAATTGCAAAAAAGGATTGACGAATGATCTTTCTCTAGCAATTGTCAACGTGGGTTGCTAATAGTGTGTAATGATCTTTGAAGCAGTCTGTATTCAAAGGGTCTATTAAATCATTTTTTACATTCTGGAATTAGAAAAAGTAGGGTAAAGGTTTGGTCACAAAGGACTACGTCATAATTAAATTGGATCGGTCTGATTATATTAAATATGCAAATATATTATTAATGTAACATGGCTGGTTGCCATATTGCAATAAACCTGTTAATAATAGGTCTACAGGAAAGTTCTGTCCGTTTGGGTTGAAACTTGAGGAAGCATTATAGGACAGAACTTTCTGGTAGACCTAATATAATAAAGAAACATGCGATTCGAGGTCGGATTTGAACATTATGCAATAGAAGGTTAAAACTTCGCAAATCGTTGTGGCTGCATTTTTGCAAACGTGCATGTATCGCTAAATTGAATGTCATTAAATTCTGCAAACTTCGTGGATCACAACTGATAAATGAAACGTTTCAGAATTTCGAGATATTTATTATGAAATCTTCGGAACGGATCTTTGAATAATTATCGTTTGGCAGTATACATCTTTTTGACAGACTTTGTCTTTTGCTCGCACATTTAGGGGTTGAAGTAATCATTAAAGAGAAAGGTGCAATGCTTGAAGAGGGCACTAGGCTTTGAGAATTTATCAGTTTAACTTGATGTCTCTTTCGAAGGAGTTTTTTTAGTGGAATTGATACTCACAAGACATTTATCGGGGATTGGGGAGACCACTCTCGACGAGGCCGCGCCTTGTTGGGCATCTGCGTTGTTTTAAGAGTTCACATTCTCGGCAATCCTGGAAAGGAACAAAGGGGATTCCAAGTTAGACGAAGAGATCCTTTCCCATAGGGAATCCGAAAAAAGGTTGGGGGAATTCGTCCCCTTCGCAAAATACGGGGAGCAAATGATTGTATCTTCGACCACCTTTTTCAGGAACCTTAATGTATATATTATAGTCAATATATTATATAACAATATATAAAAGCAAAAATTCTGCCCACGTAAACAAATTTTGATAACCTTAGCCACGATAACTTGACATAAGACAGCATCACAATTTATCAGTAGCCAAACTTTATATAATCCCAAAAAATACTCTTCTACTTTAAGGAAATTTTCATGAAAAAAAATCACGGTTTAAAAAACGGGACTCAACGATCTACGTGAGATTTTCAGGGTGGTATTTTAAAAAGTCAATATTCTAAAAGTGTTCAACACGGCTGTTATTATTCCTTTTTTTTTCCTAACCATGAAGAATTCGCCTTGCAAGTGCTTATAATTAGCGTTCGGCGAACACCGTCGGCCTTTCCGTGTCGGTCCCTTTAAGACTTATTTTTATCCAAAGTCTAAGGCAGCGTACCACGGGTCACATGGACATTAAATAACAAGGACGTGAAGGGGATCGATATATCGAGTCAGTGGAAGTTTAATGATCCAAGAGACGAGCTATACGACGGCGATCGATGGGCATCGTGTGTGACATTCTCCACTCTCATGGAAAACCCGGAGTTGCCCTTCGAATTCGGCCCCAGGGATCCCTCTTCTCCTTATTTCTATTTCCATACTCCTTTTCTCAGAAAATGTAGCTACCGATCAAGCTACGTGAAATCGGCCGCAAAAAACGTTTATGAAGCGAATTATGGTGATTGAAGGCAAATAAAAAAACCGTATATGTTATATCTATGAATTGTATACATAGCTTAGCGATAACATTAATGAACAGGAAACTTCATTATCGATCCAGGTAATAAATCAAAAAAGACAAGATTTAAGAAAGATAATATTTTCGTAATTGTTGAGATTTTACATTTGGAATATATTATAATAATAGCAAATGAGAGTACATTCTAGGGATTTTTTTTGTAAAGGGGACGCTTTTTCTCTGAATTTTTGGTTCGGACTTTTCAATTTGCCAAATTTTCCGTACAAGTGGCGGAAACGCCTTTATTTATTCTTGTATGTAACATATTGTTTTTCTTACAGCCGACGATTTCGAGGGTTTGTCATCTCGTGTTCCCCACTTTTACGTAAAATTCGAGGGATTCTTCAGTGTTCTCCGGATAGGTACACATGTATTCGTAACTCGAAACCACTCTCAACCACCGCAGCAATCACGTTTAATGGCCATACTCGGCTGTGCTCGATGCACCTATAGCACGCGAAATGCATCTCTCCTGTGTACGATCGTTACGTTGATTCGTCCGAAGGAACTCGAAAATGTGGCCCGGCATTTGAAAGCTCGTCAAAAGTACCCATCCTCGAAATCGGATAAAGCTCCCACGAGATAAGCTAATTTCCACGTAAGAAACATCCATAAAAGAAAATCAGTGCGTGGCCGTCCAGCCGTGAAAATTCTAAGTTAACGATAATTATAAGATTTTATTAAATATTTTCAAGTACCCTTTCGAGAAATATTTGGTACTCATCGTTTTGGGCATAATTACTCTTCTTCTCTATTTATATCAGTACTATTTCATTTTACATGCCATCGGTAATTAACTAAGGGAATAACGCACTAACGCTAAGGAAAACGTTTACCCAAATGTCTCGATACTAACACATAAGGTTGAATGCGAATAGTTATGAATTGTAAAAATAAACTTAACGCAAATTGTGTTAATATTAAAACCTAATGATGAATATGGAAGTTGTTAATACCTGTAAAGAAGAAAAAAAAAGGGTTTTACTTTCCGAATCGGGTCTCATGTACGAACTTACACGTATTTCCGTGCCATAAGAGATTTCACTGAAACATGTTAAGCCGTCGATTTTTAATGTTTAGCCTCGAGAGTACTGAGAGGAATTTTCTAAAGATTTTTTAAATATTTAGTAAAAATATTTCGATGGAGGGGGATTTTAGATTGAAAAGTTCCCGAGAAAGGGCACTTTTTCGTGATTTTTCATGGGGGTAAAGAGGCGCACAGAAATTTCGTTGGGGCAAGGAGAGCTTTTAGTTAACATCCCTCACTTTTGGGGAAAGTTCGGGATCCTCTCGGAAAGCTGCTGGAGAGATTCTCAGCTATTCCTCGGGAGCTTCGTATGTAGTCTTAACTTGAAACCACTTTCAACCAGCAGAGTTGGCGGGTTTAATGGCTACCCTCGCCGCAGCTTGATGCAGGTGCATCATGCGAAATAAACCCTTTCTACGTAAGATCGTTACATTCATTCGGCTGCACGAACCGCGAAATCACGAGATCGCGATTTCGTTAACTTTTTATACCAGAAGAAATTCTTTCTACATTAAATTTATTTTCTCATCCAACGACGCGATAAACTCCACTCACGTTTCTTCCGTCGCGTTCGCATAAAAATGGCTTTACCTCGTTATTTGATTCTACATTTTGTAGGTACATGTTGCAAAACATGTCAGCGAATAATGTACTTACATAAAGACCGACCAGTAAAATCTATACTATGAGTATGTGAAGTTAAGCTTAATCATTTTTCTTGTTTATGTTAATCCAACGGAATTCTGTGGGAATGAGTAGTATTGTTATACGATATTTTTTCCCGATATTCCGCTTGCGGTGAGAACAATAGCTCGTGCGAATAGACATTTTTGATAGCATACCTATCATTATTTACTTATCGTCATGTCTATCAATATTGGCTAAAAAAAAGTTAATACAAAATGATTGAGATCAACTTCGTCGTTTCCGTCGCCATTATTTAATGCATGAGGTTATTGATCACCGACGTGAACACTAATAAATACGTACGCACTCCACACTTGTTCAATGTCAGTTTGGCCATTTACTCGGGACTTGAAAAGGTACAAGGGCGTACTTGAGATTGGAATCGCCCCATGAATACCACCCCTGACACACGGCTCACATGAGGAGCGCGTTGTTTGTTATCCTAATCTCACAAAACGTACCATTATTTCCCCTTACATTCAAATTCCCGGGAAACACCAAAGCAATCCACTTACAAGGCTAAATAGCCATTGAAATCGTTATCGGCATCAAGACCAAGCTAAAAGGAAAATTAATAAATAAATTATAATAAATCGCGCGGTGAAGTAAAATCACCGTGGCAAATTTTCGAAATATTTAATCGTGATTTCTGATATCAACATCGGGGCTGCCTTCAAAATATATTATTACATAAACGAACAAAAATCACTGGACTGAAACGAAATCATCATGGCAAATTTTGAAGAAATTTAATCCTACTTTCAGATATCGACACCAAGACTGTTATGAAGAAACGTTAATAAGTACATAATAAATCACTGCGATGACGTAAAGTCATTATGCCGAACGCTCAAGAAATTCAATTGGAATTTTAAATACCTTCGTCGTCATGGTTTGTGAAATTTGTTGTCAGGTGAAAATAATTTTATGTATATTTATGGATTTACGCACGATCGGATCGAGCGATGCTCCATTTGAGATGCCTATCTATACAGACGTATAGAATCGTCAATCTCCTGAGATGCGACGTCGTTGGACGTCGCATTATTTATCGTCGCAGTTTCGCGAAGGGTAAGGTTACTTATCGTCACCGTCATGTGTAACGTCGGGTTATTTATTACAGGACAAGCGCGAAAAATGCGCGACGTCGCCTCTCCGTGCTCGATCGATGTGTGGAAAAGCTCGGAGAGCACGTTGAACCGCTCTGCAATTCTAGTCGAGATTACCCGTAAACATATCGCATTTCGAAACGTGATTAAAACACGAATTACATTGCTTATCATCGCGGTAACTGATACTAAAGACAAGATCGTAATTACTGCAAAATACTGTACATTTAATAAACATTGATTGTCTTTAAGTCAAGGACACCGTGATTATGTTCTCCAATATACACTTTGGGTTTTTATCACACTTAATGATAAATAATTTCGAATTCGTGAATTGTTTAAAGTTTGACGATTTGATATGCGACACTTATGAGGCGAGAAGACAAGTTAATGACATTCAATTTGTGTGTCATCGCGTAAACTCTGAATCACTTGATACGTTCAAGAGGGAAATATTTATACGACGTGATAAGGCGGCGCGTTTCTTATTATCATGGTCGTTGTCACAGGAGACGTGAGGGCATTTTGAAATATGCATGAGTTTGCTCTCGGAATCGAAGTTGTCGCTTTGGTGACGGCGTTGTCTCCCAAAATGCTACGCGATTGAATATCTTGACATTTTCCCATATGGCTTAAAGAATTATGTATTGCGTCTCATATGGAAATAAAAAAAAAAGAAGAAGAAAATAAGAAAGGAAATAAATATAACATAGAACTATTCACTCTGAGAAATGTAGTACATGAATTTTCACTTCCCAGTAACAGTCCTTTGAGGATTGTCATCGATTATTTCTCGTTATCAATGCTATCAATATTAAGGGGATGTGAAAGTGGCGTCTGAAGGGTCAATCGTTCGTGAAACTTTTCTCCGAACTGGGTGTACCAATTTATTTCAAATTTTACCACATGCATAAGGAGATTCTAAGATAGGTCCTGAAACTCGGGAAATTTCAATTTTTATAAACAATTTTGAAAATAGCTATAAAGGAATTATCTTAAAATTGAAATTTCATGGGCGTCAGGACCTTCCTTATAGTCTCTATATTCACATTGCATGGTTTAAAACGATTCGGTACACCCAATTTGGAGATAAGTTTCATAAACGAGACCTCTATTACGCCACTTTCATATCAACTTAAATAGCAAAATCGGATATCAAGAGTAATCTTCGAAAACACACCAATATGAATATATTCAAAGTTGAGACGAGTTTGCCGAACTCGTCGGCTTCCAAAATTCGTCAAATTTGA